GCTAGAAGTCAATGCTACTTTAAAAAAATTTCACTCAAGCAAACAGTAACACCTATATGCAGCCTATTGCCCTGTGCAAGGAATTGATAAAAAAAATGTTAATCCAGCATTTGAACACTTCAAAAGTTCAAATGCTGGGGAGGTTGCTGGCAGGGGGAGAAGGGCAGAATTTAATTAATGCAAAATTTGAACCTTATAATTAATTAATCGCCATCATGTAGTACATTTTGCTCACTGATTGTCTGCTGTGTCCATAGGTTGGTGTTTGTGTCAGCTCGCAATGGTCACATGCCTAAAATACTTGCCATGGTTCACAAGACTTGTCATACTCCTATGCCTTCCATCATTTTCTTGGTAAGTTTTATAAACATGCATGCACCTTAGAATTGAGAGGTGTTGCCCCAACAAAGTTTGCATGACATTTCGGCCATAGTTGTGAGTAAAAGGGACTCCCAACTGAGAGGCATGTTTCCTTTATAGCACTTCTCCAGAAGAAGAGTTGCTGTAAGTATTTTATGATGAGTTAGATGTTGTTAAAAAGGGCACAAAATAGAAAAACCACAGGCTCAAAAATTGAGCAACTAAACTATCCACTCTTTCTAAAGGTGATAGAACCAATCAGTTTTGATACCCATTTACTCACCTTAACACTAATGTCCTTGGCTGGAAAAAGCACCCCCTTGTATAAAGCTAATAGTATCACCCCAAAATATGTTAAAACCTCCATTTAATTTGTATTTTCTTTTTATTGAATTGTAGCATGTCATTGCCATGATCATGTTGATTCCTGACTCCAGTGAATTCAGCACACTCGTCAACTACTTCAGCTTTGCTGCATGGCTCTCATACTTTGCAGTCATCACAGCTCTGATGTACCTTAGGTGGAAACGTCCAGATGCTAAGAGACCATACAAGGTACTTTGATTAGTTTAGATGGTATTGATGTTTGAAATAGTAGCCATTTTTTACTTGGTTCTGACAGTTTTGAATGGTCTCGCAAAGCATGGACTTGGAAGTAATACATGTACCTTTTAGACGAAAAAAGTTTTCATTCAGAATCTGTGGTCATTTTCTCCATCATGAGCTTTCTTTGGCCTCGGCATGTATTATTTTACTTCGGTCTAAATCCTCATAAATCATTGTTTCAAGGCTTCATTCCAGTTAACCCTTTACACCTATCATTAGTATGCATATTCTCCATACTGTTCTCTATGGATTTCTTAAGGTTCTGACAAGGAGAATTTGTTTAACAGTAAAGGGCTTCTCTAGCCAGTGATTATCTCCTTGATTCCTGTGACATTGGTGTTTGATTCAGGGGTGATATTGTAAGGAAAATTTAATTCTTGTCTCTTGAGGTGCTAAAGAATAAAGGGCAATTTTTTTTGCCTCATAAACAATGCAAAATAGTAATATTTAGCTGCACTCAACAAAGGTGATTTTTTTTTCTTTTTTACAAATGAACCCTGTATTGACCATACCTGCCTTAGCCTTTTATCTGCCAAACCTCACACTTTTCTTTGGAACAGGTCTGGCTGATTGTGCCTATCGTTGCTGACCTGGCAGCCCTTTATCTGCTGATCACTCCATTCTGGCAGGAACCTAAGGAGTCTGCCATGGCCCTGATCTTCATCGCTCTCGGCATACCTGTCTATTTCTTCTGTTGTTATTGGAGCAAAACAAAGGATGCATGTGACGGATGCTGTGGTTAGTGTCCAGAGTTCAAAATGTATTTTGAGACATTAGTCGACTGACGAAATTGCAATTTTCATTACATTAGTGAACTAATCTCAACCGACCATATGCATTGTTTGCTGCGAAAGACGCGACAATCAGCTCAGTTGGAAATAAGTGTGTTCCTGCCCAAAGTTATATTTAATAATGCACAAGTTGACTTAGGGTAATTTAATTTTATCAACTGAGTTAATAACGTAAGTTGGCCACCGTAAAGAGTTCAAAAGCTTACGTTTCGAGCGTTAGCGTTTCGTCATCGCTCCGACGAAAGGTTAACGCTCTCCCACCGACGTAGCACCGCAGTGTCTTTAGAAACTTGCCCCCCTGATTTGGAAAGAAATGAAGACCAGATTGACGTAAGGAGGGAAAATTCAACCTTCATCGCTTTGACGAAAGGTTAACGCTCTCCCACCGACGTAGCACCGCAGTTTCTTTAGAAACTTACCCCTCTTATTTCAAGTCAGTTGCTTGTTAATTCAGTTCAATTATTTTGGAAAGAAATGAAGACGAAATTGACGTAAGGAGGGAAAATTCAACCTAAGGTTACTGTCACAAGGGTTCTAGTGAAAATGAACTGATCAATAATTCTCTCAATTTGATATATTAGTTAGTTTGATTTATGAGTTCAACTCACAGAATTTAACAAGAGTGTATTAAGCATTTTGTTCTCGTTGCTAATAACTTTGTTTCTCTTGTTAGGACGTTTCACTTACAACGTGCAGAAGTGGTTTAACTTCTTTTTGCCCGGGAGTGAGGAAGATTCAGAGGAAACCATGTTAAAAGACTGATTTTCTTTTTATTTCTGCTGCAGTAAGCAAATAGGATTTACTTTAAGTAGAATCTCAAAGCATTTATTGTGTGGTCACACCAAATTATGGCATGGAAATCTTGTGGATGAAAACTCCACTAGCGCCCATTCATTTGAAATTACTCATGCACTGTATACTCCTGACGTGTTTTGTTGTTGTTGTTGACCAGTGTTATGTGAGATAAGCTATGATTGTTATGTTTTTTTCAGCTTTTGTTAATTTATTTAAATCATGATATCTGAAAGGGTTAGCTAGCTCAACAAAATGTGGAAATTCACCTACATTAGATACAAATTGATTATTTTACACACGGTTTCGTAGTTGATAACGACCGTAACAGTGACTTGCACGTCTTAATAGTTTTTTTCCTCGATTCTAGTTTTGTAATTGTAGTGAGGTGTGATGATTTTAAGTACTACAGGGATGGGAGGATTTTACGAAGAGAATTAATTGAGATTATTTTCCAGATTTCTTTAGAAATTATTTGATTGTTCTAGTTTGTAATTGTAGGCTTAAACAGGAAATTTCTGTTTTATTTGTGTCCACTGTGTTAGAAAGTGTTGAAATGCTGCGGAAGATTAGAAGAGTGAAGTTTACTCTTTCCTTATTTATTTGTCTTTAGGCCGAGCAGTATATTAGATGATCTCGAATTTTTGATGTTAGCCTGAGATGAGTCTATGCTAATTAGCTAATTACGGCAGATGATTAGTGGTGACTTGTTAATATTCTAATTATATCTAGTTGTTACGTGCGTACACGAAGAGAAATCGAGTCAATTCTAGACCATTTAGTAGGAAAAGATAGGATTTATGTTTAAGATAAAAGAGCCAGGTCTTATGAAGGATTTTTAAGGCGAAAAGGAAGTTAATGTTATTTCTCTCTAACTTATTGGCAGAAAGCAAATTAAAAGGGGTTTGTAATAAAAAGAAGTTGTTGGAAGGCCAGACGAAGGCTTGTTAAATTTTTTAGGATGTGTGTAATATTTATTGATATAGTTTGTTCGCGGTTATCATTGAATAGTTATTGTAAAGATACCAGTATGTCTTTGCATTTAAAGTCTTGAAAGTTGACAGTCGTTGTGAAATATTTTAACTAGATTATAATTGTTGTAGGTTCTATGTGTTGAGCTCTCAGAAAATTGTTAGGTTGAATCGTATTAGGTCAAGTATGCCGAGTCAGGCTGGATCTTCTCACCTCGTAACAAGCCGGGGTGGATCGGATAGAGTCGTCTCGAGTTGATTCCCACTCGGCAAAGGCAAACTCTTACTTAACGTGATACGTATCTACGTTTTCACGTTAGCAGAATACTACCCGCATTTTTAATACTCTTAGCTCCTAAGATGTAACTTAGAAAGCGCGAGGTCACGAAATTTTGCATGTCGTTCGCCGCAACCTTGAAAATCAGTGTCAATGGCAAAGGAAGCCACAGAAAATTGTTTTTGTAAGAGAGAAAAGCAGTTTGATTGAAAAATTAACCAATCTGGAAAAGGGCTGGTAAAGAATTAGCAAGATTGAAAGGGATTGATTCATGTAGCCTAAATCTCTCAAGATGTGCAAACAGTGACGTGGCAGCTTAAAGAAAAAATATTGATAACTAAATCGTGGGCCTGTAACCTTTGCTATAGGCTTTGGGTTTGACTTGTTGATCGTAATTTTGGTAGTTAAAGTTCTGTGTTTAGTGTTGTGTATGAAAAAACTTAGATAAGTAACGAAGACTTCTATGTAACTTGATTCTGTGAACTTGATAGCGGCTGATTAAACCGAAGTTGACGGGCTTTTTGTCTCCATCATGATATATTCCTGAATCGTCCCCGTCTTTGAACAAACGTCTGTTCGAAAATCTTTCTGTCATCGTTTATGACGAGAGTTTTACGTGCCCGTGTAAAATGGGTTGAAGTCAGAAGCACATTCTAAGAGCATAGTGAGAAGATGAATCGAAATAGCTTATGAATTAAAATAAAGAGGAACTGTTTTGATATCTCTGGTTCGCATTCCGTGACGTTTGAATTCCACATGGTTGTTTTACTTTTGCCAAGGACCCAACCCACATGTCACTGGATAAGTGTATCATTTTGGTTAAGGTTAGGGGTCACAGGTGATGAGTTTTCTTGTCGTGGAGAAGTACTGTTTCAGAAACCACACAATCTTTAGATCTGCCGATGAAAGTATGCGTGATGCTGCGTTTTCAAATTCTTAAGAATCTAACTGTTCGAAAATGACGTCTTCAAAGTGCTTGACGCCGCCATTTTGATTTCTTAATAACCTAGCCGCTTATAGTGACGTAACAGTCTCACGAACATTTTACAGATTTAGGTATGGGCCTAAAATTCACTCACACGTTCCATGATAATCAGGTAGACAATTAATTTATGCATTAAAGGTAGATAAACACGTTATCCCCTGCCCCCCTGACAATGTTTGATTTTTTTCCTATCGTCGTGCCGTTGACTATTGTCCATATAACGCCCCTAGTCGATAACTGATGACCTGCGGGAAACCACAAATATTTTTTTAGGTCAGTCTTTTCAAAATGGTTTTGTAGACAGATCACATAACTCAAGCAGGTTACTGAAGATGTATGTGAGACAAAAAACAAGCACACAGAGTCACAGAGGCTTTTTTTCTGCGGTTATGCCACAAAGGGCAAATAACTAAATGCTGATTGGCTGAGATAGAAGGTGTTTCTTTATTAATTCTGGTGCTTGCTCCGGGCAAAATAACTTGAAAAATAAGAAATTAAATTTTAAGTATTAAAACAAAAGTACTATAATCTTATGAATGGCGAATGTTTTTTAGCGGGGCTGGTTTCATTGCTTTGGCGTTGTTGTCCAAAATTAGAATTTAAATCAGCTGATTCGCGCGTTTTACAGTTCATTGACACTAACCGAACACTGAAATGGCTTCCCACGAAATTAAGTAACAGCATGCGTTTTTTAACTTCTTAGTAAAAGATAACTTTGTCATTTTTATCATAGACAAGCATGTTTCCCCATAATTAAGGTTAAGGATTGATATCACTTGTGTTTTCTTAAGTTGCAGAAATTGGTAATTTCCGTAACTTCTAAAACACGCGTGATAAGAAATCTTATGTTACTCGGCCTTATGAAATTACCTATACTAAATCCAATCTACGAGTTTTATCACGATGACAAAAGTAACCGATGTAGTCTGTTTCTGTGAAAGATCAAAGACGATTACTTTCAAATCATGATATCAAGGTATGAGAGTTTTCTCCAGCAAATTAACATTTTGGTTACATGCCTTTCGCTCTTCTTAACCACCCTTAACAAATTATATCAGGATTGGTGTTAATAATGATAATAGGTAAAGTAACATTACATTTTTCATGACGAGGGTTGTGCGGCTGCTAGGTGTTATTCCCCAATCTTCGTAAGCCCTTGCCTTACAAGGTATTGGCTCCAGTCCCTTCTCGTGTATTCGTCCTTGTGAAAGTGCCACACAGATCTGGCAATAAAGCGGATACTTTGGCTTCCAAACGTTTTCAATAGCGGTTCCAGTGATATTTTCTATTCCCTCCAATTTCCATGACAAATACTTGTTATACTCAGTCTCATTTCTGCTGAGGTACTTCAGATAATCAGAAAGATCTTTCGGAGTCCTGAAATCACGGACTTTAATAACGGAATGTCGTAGATTGCCGGGCAGGAACTCGTCAAGTTTATCTGTACTCATCACAACGGGAATTGAACCTGCATTCAAAGCATGATTCAGTTGTGCATCGACAAAATAATCACAGTCCTGGTTAAAAAATACCAGAGTAAACTTGTACTGCTTGGCTAATTCAGTTTTCAGTTCTAAGAAGTTTGATCCGTTTCTAGATCCATAGCGTTCCACAAGACCATGTTTGTTCCTGAGACAATCTCCATAAGAATCGACCTGCACAAACTTCATCAATTGCCTCATGTATTCAGTTCGCACTGGCTCACAGTTCGAGAATGCAGCCATTATTAGTTTAGTCTTTTCCTTAAACCTAAGAGGTGGAGTTGCGTTTGGCATATGAAAGGATGGCCAAGGAAAATCGTAATCTAAACGGTAACTTACTAACAGTTTAAATCTGGACATAAACTTGGCGTCGTTCATTACGGAAGTGTATATCGGATTTTCTTGTGTGTAAAGGATCCATGGAACAGATTCCGTTGGAGGTATCATGTGCGAATCCCTGGCATGGACTACAAAGCCGTCTGCATCACAAGCTCGAGAATGGTCAGATGTGACCTGACAGGCCACAGGGCAGTCACTTTTATTCCATTTAAGCTCAATACCTGGCTGTTTTCCGAAAATGGTTGACCAGAAAACGATTAGCCACCGATCGGTTTGATTGGGGCTCTTCTTACAACTGAAATGATCTCTTTGTGGAAAATAGTTTTTATCGATGTGATAGAACAGAATGAATACCATACAAACGGGAAGAAACACAGGCTTTAAAGCACGTATGTTCTTTAACATTCTAAGTGCTGATGTATTTTTCAGGATTCACCTGTCGAGCAAAACGTGTTTAAGATTAGGCAATAGCATTTGATGTTGTTCACTCAAAGAAAAATTCCACATCTACAAGCAACTGGTATCTTGCGGGGTTCTTTTTCCGCAATTACAATGGCGAAAAAAATAAAAAAAGACATGAAATCTCGCGATTCAAGGTTCTCAACTTCATTTTTTTTCTCAAAATGGCTTAACTTTTGACGACTGCACGAAAGAAAAGGAATTTGTACGAATCTGGAGATTCAATGCTACCACAGAAGATACAATATAGAACTTACCAGTAAGACCAGTTAATACTTCGCGTATTTTCGTTACACATCCTGTACGTGTTGTTGTTATTACTTGCCGATGATTTTTTTTTCTGTGATTTGACTTTTTCTATAGGGACTAAATTTACGTGTTAAAACTTAATTTCGCGTTCTTTATACAATTGGAAAAAACGAAAAATCAAATACCTGTGAAAGTAAGTACCAGTAATTTGTTTATTAAATAAACAGACTTTGTTCAAACTTACTTCCGTACCGACATTCAAATCTTCTAGTGGCAAATATTCCGGCTGTCGATTTTTGTTCTCAGCTGCGAGAAATGCCATCGCCAAAACTAAGTCACTTTCAGTTTATCTTATCGTCCGTTTCGTGGTAATTTGGTGAGTTGATAATGTAAACAAGACGGCCATTTTCGATATATGAAAATTCAAACTAGGCTCCGGGAGGCTTGGGGAGTAAAACAAAAGAAATCACAACGAGCTTGAGGGATGAATAATTAGTTCCTTTTGTTTTATTCTCCTTAGCCTCAGAGCCATGTTAGAATCTCAATATATCGAAAGTGACCTTTTGACCACCTTTAAGAGTTTCCAAGCCGACGGCAGTTCGAGCGTCCAGGGTCAGCCTTTTGGCAGAGCGAATGACGAAGGGCAAACGCTCAAAACGTCAGCTTTGAAACTCTTTACGGTGGCCGATTTGCGTTATCGACTCAGTTGATGATACCAAATTAACTTGTTATACTCTCCCACCGACGCAGCACCACAGTTTCTTTAGCAACTTACCACCTTTTTTTGCGTGTCCTGGTCATCTTTCGCTTTTACAAAATTTCCAACGTCACAGTCTGTGAGCGCTTGGAATCTTTGAGTGTTGTTGGTTGCCATAATTCGAGAAAATCTCGACTTGGATTGAAAATGATGAATGGTTTGCACTTCATTCATTAGAACGGCGCGGCGAGAAAGGCGGGTGACGTGTCAGAAGCTGATTGGCGATATTAAACATTCGTAAAGAAATGATCGTAATTTTACATTTCGTACAGTTACGGCTTTTCTCAGAGCTGGAGATCCTTGTAAAACACCGTAGTTTATATGGTTAAGTCGTTTTGGTCATTTATGTAATTACACGAAGATGCATAATGAATTTATAGAATAAACGTCACGATATTGATTTAATTTTTGGCGTTTACGATACATTTTTTTTTTTTTTAACGGACGCATTTATTTAAAGGTGGCGATTATTTTCAAGTCATGTTGACGTGGAATTTTTGTCCCTTCGGCTGTTCGGAGGTAAATACGTACTTTAGCCAATCAGCGAGCGCGAAAAGCATTATTTACTGTGGCCCACAACTGTCACGGCAAAAGAAATAACTTCGTGGCAAAAGAAATAACCTCTCGGCCAAAGAAAAAGACTCGCGGCAAAAGGAAGAACCTCGCAGCCAAAAGGGATGTAAGGAATAACAGCAAAACTAGTCGCTGGTTCCTTCTCATCAGCAGCGTCACTAGTTGTAACTGGTTCCTGGCAGTTACGAAGAAAAGTTTTGGTATAGCCATTTACCTTAAGGACGTAAATCTGTCGCATTTGAATTCGGTGGACCCGTCTATCCAATTCAACCTTGAGCGTGAAAAGGCAAGAGACAACAAACTGACATAAATCTTTGCGGAAAAGACAATCTTAGTCTTACTTTCATTAATTGGCACCAGCCAACGTTTTGCCCAATTAGGAATTAGTTCGTATAACCCGTTCGTTATATGTTGAAGTGTTTAAGACGCTCATTTTTCGCTTGTTTACTACGTTCGTCCTTTGTGGACGTAAAACAAAGCAAAACAAATGGCCTCTCGGGAAACAGTTGGAAAACGAAACTTGCTGTTTCCTTTAGGAGCAGACATTTTAAAAGTGTATCATGTTACACTATGCAATAAGAATATCATAAGGATTTGTATGACAATTTACAGTTGCGTTCTCAACTTAAAGATCAGAACTAGTTTTAAATAAAAACAGACTTACCTCTCTTGAGAAGTTTTTCCTTTAAAACGCGTGAGCTTTCCGGGCTGATTTGAGGCCGATTAGCTCGGTTTTAGTTCATCTGCTTCACGCTCTGAAAACCAACGCTGTTTTAAACTAAAATCAAAACCAGTATGGCCTGCACGAGCAGAGTGGGATCTTCGCGTGGGCATGGGAGCGAATAGAAGATATTTGTTAGCGCTCTTTCGACCCAGACTTACGCGTTACTTCCGTTATGCTCACGTTTCGTCAGCGTAGCTTATATAAGGCAGGTAAGACCGGAACGCAGGCTAACGTACATGGAAACAAAGTCCACTCAATAATTTAACACAGAAACCATGCAACGCATGAAAAACATACGGGAACCTGTTTATTTAAGTTAGATTCCAATACATTCTTGTATTTAGTCATGGTGTAGGTCCCTGGATCGAGACTTTCGACACATGATCAGACCGTCCGCCCATTTGATTGGTAACGCGCTTTGCCATCATGAGCCTAAGAGGCATGATGAGGCGGAGACCGTGGTTCAGTGAGAATGACCAGTGTAGCTCAGAGTCCTCTATAAAAGATACAGAATGCATTAGGAAGGCTTGGGCACTAGTTCTCAGACGTTCTTAGGTTTTTTAATCGAGGGTTTTTCTCTAAGCTGTGACGTCGACGTTATTAAATCGCGCCCACCACTTTCCAGACAGACGCGCGGTTGACAAAGCAACGACTGATACTAGTCGTAGAGGCCTGGGTTGATCAATGGAATGTTTCTATTCAATACGCCTTTTCCGAGTTCTAAAACCCTCGTTTTCAGAATAAGGGCAAGTGCAAAATACCTGTTTTCGAAGATAGGTCAAGTCTGTGGAGAATAGAGTATGATTTTTGCATCAAAAGCTTTGCAATTACCCTCCTTTTAAAACAGGGGCTTCGTGCATCTTGAAAATGGATCCGCCATTTTAGCTTCAGGTTCTTCGGACTCTTTGATAATAATTTATTTGTAAGAACCTTTTCGTGTCTTAATATTCACATGTCACATACGATGTATATCATCTACCATTTGAGATAAAAGTTTTCAGCAATCATTTATTTCCTAGCACCCAAAACCAAGTAATAATTTGTGACTACCGTTTACTGCGTAAATTTTTCTGTACGGCATTCCACCAATTATCGACATGACTCGTTTTCTTGAGGCGGATCTCTTTACTGGGGTGGAACACGTTGGTTCGTCTGTCTGTTTGGAGATTAGTTCTGCTGAATATCTAAAGCAATAGAATAGTGTTAGTAAATCCTCCACAGAGTATATTGGGTCACAATGACACGTAAGCGAGCCACATACCGCAATACACTTTTATCAAAGGAACTAAAGACTCTCAACCTGTCTTCACTCAAATGACTATGAATATTTGAAATCAAATATGTGAACTGCGGGTTAAGAAATGAATAAGAAAACGACCTTGGCAGTAATTAACGCGACTTAAGAAGTAGTGGAAATAACTGAAAGCGTGCAACAAATATTTAGCGTATATGTCGAAGGAACGAATGAACAGAAAAATCTATTTCACCATGATTCCTTATTTGAAACGCAACTAATGTAAAAGCTCGCTGGAAACGAACTTCTGTCAAAGGAAGCATCCGCCAGCTCATGTGATAGATATATCTTATCAGACGTTGTGGTGTGTAGTATCGGTGAGTGTTTTAACGAGTTGTGCCGCATTTTGACGAGCCCGCAGGGTGGGGAAGTGGGAAAAGCGAAGCAGTTAGAAAAGCGTAGCGCGCACAGCCGACCGGTTGGACACGTTTTTTATTTACAACACAAAATAACAAACTGAACAATATCGCAGGATACCTGTCTTCGATTCGCGCGTTATTTGTACTCTATCTGGCACAGTTGGATGATAATCATTGTGGATACTTACATCATGGCGTTGTAAATTTTGAAAGATTATTTTACGAAAAACTGCCCTGAAAGTTCTATTCCAGTGATTTTGCATTAGATAGCTGTATTACACTGCGTCACGTCAATTTCCTATATCTAAATTATGACCAATGAATACAAATATGGGAAAAATAAGAATTTAAAAGAGTTTAATACAAATTGAGTGTGTTACATATATGCCAATGACTCACTTTTTCCATAGGAACATCAGAGGAGTGAAGACCTGAAGAGCTGCCTCATGAAACAACCCTCTCTCTACAATTCCAGTGTGTACCAACCCTACAATGTTTTCCGCTAGATCGCTGGCAATGTTGATCTGAGATAAAAAGTAAAATTAGTTTGATTGTACTTAAGGTAAAAAGTTTAAAAAGCAGAGAGGATTGTTAGTGCCCCTTTCAGCTGGGATTTGAAGGGTTAAAATGATTTTTTTCTTTTTTTTGTCTTTTGTCTTTTTTTTTACCTGGGAAACGTGATTTGGCTCATTGACAAAACGTAGTTAATAAAAAAATTTAGGGAACGGGACGGGAATTCAGAAAGAAAACTTGTTGAACCGGAATTTGAATACTCGATTGCCAAAACACACGATATCGATGAACTGTTTTCTGGAATGATTGAAAGAGGACATTTGAGACTCAGTGTAAAAGCAAAGAGCACTACAGACTCGTAAACCCATTGGGTGCATATCTTTTTTAGGGGCTCGATAAAGGCAAGCACTTAGAACTGTCTGGACTCTCTGCCCGCTTAGTTTCGTCGAAAGGATGTAATGGATCCTTTGTACTTCGCTACTACGAAACAAACCTATATTCCTGGGGGAGGAAACCAACCTGTACTCTTGGGGGAAAGTCCGAATCTATAAAACACTTTACAATAGTGCGAGCTTTGTCCAAAAGTAAATTCTCATCATCTAGCGTGTAGTTCCCAGACATCGCACAAGCAGCAGCATTATCAGCTTGATCTTTGAAGCGCTCAACCTCCATCCAGAACTCCAAGTCGTTTATCAACCGATCAGTGTATACAAACTGCTTATTTACCACTCGCCCAGTAGGGTGCGCTACATGACGGCGGAGGTCTGAAGAAAGAAAAGTTCAATGAGGAACAATGATTCCGTCGAAAAAATTATTAAGGTATTAAATTGCTTTCTTTTTCTTCATTGGGTTTGTGGAGAATTAGAAAAGACAAAAAGATCCTCTATAGCTTGAATTTAAAATATTTCCTTAAAAAGCCGAAAATTTAAACGTCAAAAGTGGACACACCCATGGGGAATGGCTGGGTAACAGCTCAATACTGGTTGACCGCGTAGGACAGGTTTCACAGATTAGGAGTATTATGAAAAAACGATAAACAACGTCACTTTATGCCATAACTGACCACTTAATGTTTAGAATCTGGCTCAAAAATACCATTTAATTTGATTTTGGGAGAGAAACATGGATTAAAAAATAATTTGAAAGATATTCTTGAGTATATTTAAGTACTCCCACTTTCAGTGACCGTTTAATGCAGGTGGAAGACAATAAAAACAGGCCGTTATGACTAAACAAAGGGTGAACAAACCGCTTAATAGAGGTGAAAAGTACAGTGATTAAGGGAAAACAAATTCGGGACATGGACAACTGACCGCCTAATACAGGGTGACCGTTCACTGCGGTTCCGCTTGATACAGGACTGCACCCTCATCTACTAAACGCGTCTATCGATTCAATTTAGAGCGCACGTTTATCGCAGTTCTTGCATAAAAAAAAGTATAAGGTTTTTTCTCCTTCTTCCTGAAAATCTTCGAAATATTACATATTTTTTTTCTCTGTACTAGCGATTAATATGTGAGCTATATTCAGTACTCACTCTGTTCCACAGTGGTCTTTGCTTCTTTTCTCAGGAATGCTTTAAAGTCACGGAGAGAGGGAGCATGGCGAATTCCTCGTTGGAAACATATGATGTTATGAGCAAACATGACCCACATCCCTTTCTGAAGGAAGAGAAACACAAAAACAGCCAAACCTTAGTTATGACCTCTTTTATTAGAAACAAAACCATCCGTTTGGAGTCATAACTAACCGTTTTTCCGTGAGCGGCCATCTTATAAACTCCAGCAAGAGTGTTTCTCATGGCGTACTTGGTAGAGCTTTCGCGATCCGCCTCGTCGTCCGGGAAAGTGGCCACAAAATCAGCATACCTGATGATAGCACAACCGTGACTATTTTTTTTTCGGATTTAATCACGGAAAATGCTTTAATTGAACGCACAAATATCCATCATAACTTCTCCATAAATAGGAACAATCTCTCTTGCTCCCCTTTGGTCACCATGTTGTTTTGGCACCAATGCTTAAGATTTATGAGTTTTAAATTTTTTACGGGTTAAGCCGTGAGTATTTAATTCAAGGCATAGGATTTTGTCTGTCCATAATCCAGGGGCGTTCTGCATACAAAATTAGCTGGGTTTAAAAATATGTACTCGAATGTATTGGGTCTTTAAAATTTCTAAAGCAACTTTTCCACTGATGAAATCAGAAGAGAGCCATTTTTTCACCGCAAGGACTCTTGAACTGTTGGACTCTTTTTTGCCAAGTTGACACCATTTAATATTTTTTTATTCAGTGATACATAAAATATCTTAAGAGATGTTTTGCTACACAGGTACTGTTAAAAAAAATCATTTTATCCTACATAAGGATTAAAACACTTATATACAGCACAAAACGGAGACTGTACCAGTTTTCCTCCATGGATCGTGCCACGCAGGCCTGAGCCGAGACAAGCATTGGGGGGGTCACTTTGTCCAATAGCGGGATGTCCCGGATGATCTCAGCTTTGCAATGTAGGTACTCAGCTACAGAGGAACAAATTGTGAATTATTAGTATATCAGGAACCTCAAAACGTGGTTCACAAACAGCTGCTGCTTTGGCTATCACAAACGTTCACTATAAATTCCACAAACTACTCTCAATTCTGCAAACAAGGTGTCAAGAGTTGGAAAACGAGGTACGGGACTCGACTACGTCAGGGATGGGCAACGTGGTTGCTAAGCAAGATTAAAATGGCGGCCTATATTGATAAAATTTAAGCTCATTTGAAGAAAACTTCGTAAGGTGAAGGTCACTCTTTAGGATCACAAAACGCGGTCCGTGCCATTTTTTTTTTCATGTACAATTATTGATGGTGGAGAAAACTTCTATCTTTTCTTCCAAAACTCCTCTTCTAAGGGCTCTGAAAAATATTGACTTTGTCAAGATCTAAACACTAACCAGGTGTTGTCGGAATGTTGATAAAGTATTTTTTTGTTATAATCATAGCCCTGGCTTGCCGAGCCTTTCCGTCCTTGCAGTTTGTTCTCATGTTTTCGACCGCCTGCCAGAACATGAGGGGAGCCTCACATCCTTTGTCGGATAAGAAACGTTTGAACCACGTCAACTGAAGGTTGTTATGCAAGACATCGTTAAAGCATCTGAAAGACCAAGGGAAAAAGTTATTAACTATAATATTTGTGTGGTTACTAGGTCGTTAGTGCTACACTCTTTTGTAGGTAAAGGGCGTAAAATACAAGCACATGAAATCCTTCTTTTTTAAGGGAAGCTGTTGATCTCATTAGTTATTCTCCTTACTGTCTCCCATACAATTCTTGTGATTTTAGTTGGAAGAATTTGGCTTTGGATCAACTAATAATCCCCCAATTGATATTTCTCTTTATTCTCCTTACTTTTCTGCTTGATAATGTATTGATATTGTAAGGAGAAATTCTGTCTTAGACACTTATGGTAGTTAGAGGGTTAATCAGTGTTACCTTGGTTTCGGGGGTCTGATGATCTTGCCTCTACCCTTCGCTCTCTCCTCGAACGCATCTTCTCCAAACCTGATCGCGTGACCGTAGAAGTGTGAAGCCCTCCTGTTCTGTTGCGTGTTCTCCGGTTGTTTATCCTTCAGACTCGGAAGATCAAAGTTCTCCTCGTATGCCTCGCGTTCATCTTCGTCTTCGTCTTCGAGACCGAAAGAAAATCCTAAGGATATAAAACCAACTGATAGTGAGTATGTGTTTAATTTGGATTACTATTTCACGCGACACCCACGTCCTTGCTAACCTAATCAGTAGGGAGTAAAACCCGTTTTCTCTTACCAGAAAATCCAAGCCCAACGGCCACTGAGAAGGCATGCTGTGGCTTAGAACAGTCGGTTTCCCACAGTTTAGCAGTTGTCCCATCTGGTTTGACTTCCATTTTTTTTCTCGCACTCTTCCTAGGAACTCCCTGTAAAATACGGTGGGATAGTGTAAATGAAAGATGGTAATCATTTCTCGTGGGACAGAGGCAGCAACTCTAATGATGGTCAGTGAATCATTTGACAAAAATCCTACGGAAGGCTTCACGAAGCACCAGTATCTAGGTCTATCGCAAGCCAACAATTCTTAATCTTCTGCTGCTTCACTTTGGTTTCTGTCGCAATTTCAAAAACAAATTATGATTTGAAAAAAAACAAAAAAAAGAAACCACGGCAAGAACAGCAATCTCTACGAAAACCTGAAAATGTTGTACTCAAGTCATTCAGAATGAAGGTCGAGCTCGATAAAAATGATTTTAAACTTGTAAAAAGAAATTAAGAAAAAAATTGTTTTATTTTGACTTTTTCCTGGATGCTACTGGTCTTCTTTCGCAGCTTTAAGTAATTTTGACAATTCTGAACTAGTTTTATGAAAAACAACGAAACATACAGTGATAAGTGTAAAAATGAAACGAAAAAAGAAAAAAGGAATTTGTTGAAAGGAAAAAGGGAATCAAATTGCAACGTTCTGTAAGGATCTGTGACGATTTATTTGTTACTTCACTTTCTAAGCTGCAATAATCTTACCACAAAATTAACAAAATGATCTTCGTCAGACTGGATAAATTCACTCCACAGTGCGGTGACAGTCTGTGAAAAGAGGAAGAAGGAAAAATCTACCCTGAAGTTAACAATTTTCGTGCATTTTATACAATGAAATGTCTCTTAACGAACTTTCTCAATTGCAGACAGCTTAGACCGCCAAACTCCATTGAAACTTCAAAATAAACTCTGTATTTACATATTCCGGTAGGCAACCGTGGATGTTCTTGTCAGGTTAAAATTAACACACAGGGTAATTAAGTACTATTAACTCAGTTGAAAACGTAAATTGGACACCGTAAAGAGTATAAAAGCTGACGTTTCGAGCGTTTGCTTTTTGTCAGAGCGATTGGAGGAATTGTGGGTTGTGTGTGAGTTTATATGCGGAAAATGGGCCTACGCTATTGGTGGGAATATGGTGACGAGAAAACAAGAATAAGTTTGTTGAATGGAAAGCACTCGTTGATACCGTGGGGGTTAAGAGTGCCGATTTGAAAGATAAATTTTTGTTCTAGAGTTTTGAGGCTTTCTGAACTGCCTAGATGTGGGGGAAGGCCGCAAACTTCCATATGCTGTTTTGAATGATTAGGGAGATTCGAGTGTCTAGCGACTGGTTTGGATGTGTCCTTGTCATTTCTTTCTACCTCGCGAAGGTGTTCTCGGAATCGGTCACCTAGTCGTCTCCCTGTTTCACCAATGTATAAAAGTTATACATTGGTGAAACATATAAACCCACACATAACCTACAATTCCTCCAATCGCTGACCAAGGGCCAACGCTCGAAACGTCAGCTTTTAAACTCTTAAGGGTGGCCAATTTACGTTATCAACTCAGTTGATAATACTAAATTACCCTGATATACTCTCCCACCGACGCAGCACCACAGCAGTTTCTTTAGAAAATTGCCCCCTTTATACAATTTAGACACTTCCTTGGTGTAATGAGCTTCCGTTGGTGGATAACCCCTTTTAAAATTCTATCAGCCTCTTAATCTTAATTTCAATAAATCGACTTAACATCGCTGTCCCTGTATCTCTACAGTGCGCTAAACAAAGGTCCATATTTAATTTCACTGTTTTGTCGTCATTCGCATACTGTCACCTTTCGCAAACCTTATTAACAAGGTTATCCTCTGCTAACACCCTTGTGGCCACTTGAGAGAACTTAATTTTTACTCGGTCAGCTGTCTTTTCCCAAGTGAACCCGCTTAAAAGAACTATCATGGTCTTTTTCCTTTGTGTCAAGGTCTTATTAGCCATACTTTTTACCTGCACGGACGTTTGCAACACAGTTGACAACAACTGACTACCACGTTCTAGAGGAAGAAGCCGCATTAAATCATCTCTGGTCTGTGGGCTCATTGTTACTTTTCTCGGGGAATCTGGGGCAATGTAAGTGGCAATTAGCGTCTTTCCCAAATTATATTTGCTGAGGCTGCCAAAATCTTCCCTAGGTGACAAATACTCTTGGGAATCTTCCCAAAATTGAAGACATCTAAGGGCTGCTTCTTCTCGCGTTTTCTTTAAATATTCACTGAGAGGTCCACCGGCCAGTTTGTCTGCAGTTAGGGCTAATGATGCTGTCAGATTTATATCTGAAGAATGAAAGGCAACACCGTGAGTGTTTGCAAAGTTTTATCATCCAAGATTTTGCGTGTAACATAGCGGAGGGAGTTTCAATCGATCGAGCACCGTGAAACTACATCCAAAGCAATCAATAGGCCAATCAAAGCTGAAAGAGTGCCAAAAAACTCATGGTGAAGCAAAAACACTTCTCGAAGCGCAGGAAAGCTTGGGGGAACTACTCACGTGACCAAAGTACTCAGAACCGCCAATCAGAACAAAAGAAAACATCACCAGGAACCAGTAAGAATTTATAGAATAAAGAAAAGAACATCCTAGATGGTGTGAAAACGTGTAAAACCAAGTTTCTGATTGGTTGAGAAGATGGCCCAAGTTTTACAGACCAATCACAGAGCATAGTAAACCATAATAAGTACAGTTCCCTGATTACTTATAACTCTCAAGTTAGAGCTGTGCGTTTGAGATAAGTCTATTTACATATAATTTAAGTTATAGATGATATAACGATGCATATACGCATCACTCACCTTTGTTAGCTTGCTGAATTATACAGGGTTCTCCGTTGGAATCCCTGGGGTAAAGAACACGTGGTTCCCCGACGACTGATGCTGTTTCACTCCCAGTTTCCTTAAACGGAATTATATGCGAGGCGGAAGCTTGTCGAATGGCTGTGCTAACAGTTATTGTAGGTGTCCCTGAAAAATAAAAAGTTTCATCAAGTGACTTACGAAAACAGAGAAGCATCATAAATATATATATATATAATTTTCATCACTGGAGTCGCTCCTAAAAAAAAAATCATTCGTTAACCTAAGTACACAGGAGGAATAAAAACATACAATGGATTAATGGATATATTTAGGAAACAAAAAAGGGTTTAATCAGATTAGTGAAAGACTAGACCATTCGAGTGGTTGCATGAATTAGAAAGCTGACTTGGGTTGTAATAAACCTCAACTTTAAACCTCTAACTTTTAACTCAACCCTTTCGTAGGATAATGGCAACAGAAGGTTTTTTTTTTTTACATAAAGTCCTACTGACGGTATCTTAAGAAAACGTTGACCTTTGATTTTGACAATGAACGTTTTCATCGACTCACCTGATGAGGACCTATTTGATGAGGTGGTCTCTGCCGATGACTCATAAAGTTCTTCATCCTTTTCCTCGGTAATGATGTTTTTTTCTGATGCCAAGGCCTCGTAGAAGGTCTTAAGCTTCCTAGGCGCTGACGAAGGCATTTTGGCGAAAGGAGGGTTGGGCATGGGGTGAGAAACGAGTAATTCCTCCTCGGATTCATCTATAACTATGAAAATATTATTCAGTTTCAAACGAGCAAACAAGATGTCTTACGGAGTTGATAAATGAGAAATTGGAACTATGTCTCGACCAACAAAGAGAGGGTCGCGCAAACAGATATGCAAGCGAACTATGCGGGGATTTGGGTTGGAGTCTGGACAAGGAGAGCCTGCATTATTTAGGGACCTTAACAAAGTCGACTCCAAAGAGGACGTCGATCAAAAACTGAAATTACATTTTTTCCTAGAATTTTGCGATTGGCACCTTGTGATAGCCTTCTTTTTAAAGCGCCAGACCAATCACGAAGCGAGGTATGAAAAATCATAGCTGCAAGGCTTATTTGGGGGAATTAGCTCCTTGTCGTTCGACGGTCTTGTTTTACTTGTCAGAATAAAGTGACAATAAAATTCTGGTAAAAAAAATCAAAGCTTGAAAGCACCTTTCTTCTCGTTGGTTTTTTTCTCCTTTTTCTTCTTTTTAAACCACCTTTGCTTGCCATAAGTGGGTAGTGCAGGATCTGAAGCAATTAAGTTTTCCGGAGGCGAAACAAGGCGAGGTCTTGAACCTTTAGAAAACGACTTACTGCAGACTGTGGGACTTACAGAATCCGGCGAACTAGACACAGACCAAGCTTCCTCTTCCTCTTCCTCTTCAGGGACTGGACTCGAAGGTGGAGCTGAACTGATCTCCTCGTATCCTCTTATCTATCGTGGGAAAAAAAAAATGGATGTTTACCCATCAATCAGACAACTAAAATTGGTCAAAAAAGTTTGGATGGATACATACCGGATTACCGGACTCAGAAGACTGAGAAATTATTTTCCTTAAAATACCATTAGCCATATGATGTTAGGTCTGAGTTATCTTATCGCCCTCCTATAACACATACCAATAATATTAGGCGAGTGTTGCTGTAGATCTAAATCAAGAGTTTAGAATCTCTTGATATGCACCCTATCCACGTAAGGGCTTCTCGATTTCCAAGACCTCCGGATACGGAAGTGTGAATCATTATCTTCCCTTTATAGTATCTCACAGCTTCAATAAATGCCGAGAAATTTCTTCTTTAAGGAATGCTACAATATTCAAAAGGAGATGGCTGGCAGGCTCTGTAAAGAAGGTACCCTAGAATTGTTTGTGTTGTTTAGCCCCTGTTTTTGTTTGCGAATGGAATGGCTTATAGACTACTAGAAATGATTAAAGATGAACAACAACAAAAAAGAATTTGACAATCCTTCAAATTAAAAACTAAAATCATATTATTTACCCCGCCTGACAGTTGTAGCTCCATTGGCATATCATGAGGCGGCATAATTTTATGTCCATCTTCGGCGGGACCGTCGACTCCCGCCCAGAACCATTGTCTCCATTCTTCCAGTTTCTCCTCCCTACTCTCAGAAGAGGAAACGGCACAAAGCTTCAACAAGGAATTATCGATGTCTTGCTCAGAGCTGGTTGTTGAAAGCTTATCATCGTCTTCAAGAATTGGACTTATACTTCTGTTTTGCAATATTAAATCCGTAACTGAAATGCCTCGCTTTTCAGCGATTACTTTGAAAAGAATTTTCTTATGCTGTATGTACTTCGGTAGCCAGTAACTGCTCAAACGTTCCAAGGCCATCTTCTGCACGGGGAGGAAAACATTTTCGGAAAATATCGAGGAATCAGAAAGATACATTCGTTTTGTGATGTTCTTTGGAATTCTAAAGGAGGACTCTCGCTCCCCCTGGCGGCTCACCCCGCATAAACTCGCCCACTTCATGATCTCCGGGAGTTCCCAGGGAGATCCGCTTCGTAAATATTTAGCCTGAATCTCTCGGAAGCTGAACCTCCTATGCTCTTTCCTTGTCACCCTGCGATATCTCTCGGCGTCTATCCAAAACATCAAGGTTCTCTGCCCTGCTGTGCCGCGTAGAAACAATTGCAGACTGCGCATGTCCTCCACGGTGCGTAGAAAGGTCCTTGCTTCATTTCTGTTCACTGACGTACCTAAAAATACCAGTTGAAAGAAATTGAGGTTGGAGTTTCATGATCAAACTACGATCCCTTTTCGACGCAATTTTGGAACAAGTATTGAAACTTACAATGGTGAAAAGCTGTAAGGATAAGAATCAGCGGTTTTGGAATCTATCCAAACGGTTGGTTGCATTAGACGGTTATTCTGTGTGTAACTTGTTTCGAGGATTCTCAGCCGGCGAAGGCGATTGAAAAGTAGGCTGAAGAGGGAGAATGGAAAAGAGGGAGTTCCATTTTTCCTCCCCAGATTCTCATATTTTTTATTTTTCTCGGATTTTTGTCTACAGTTTTTGGTTTTGTTTTGTTTTTTATGTTTTTCCCTTTTTTTTATTGGAGAACCTTCGTTTCTTTAACCAGATTAATTTTTTTTCGAATTTAGCAATCGCCGAGGAGAGCCTTTTTTCTCGATTCTATGACATACGTTAAGGTTATTGTATGTTACGACAGCTACTTACCTGAGTAATCAGTAGCATCGTGAAGCTCAACGCATAACAAGTACACAAGAAAAAGATCTGTTTTCCAAAAAAATGGCATTCTTTCCTTCTGTACCCATTGTTTGATTCGATAATCTGGTAAATGCTATGGAAAGAGGGTAATCTTGCATCACTAAGTTTGATGAAAACAAACAAACAAACAAACAAACAAAAAAAACCAAAATGAACCGATAGAGACCATCGACCGGTATATATCAAGATAGACGTCCGCTTCGTAAGCTCTCACGATTTCTTCGGCCGAACTAACCTCGCAAAGAAAAAACCTTTCGACCAATGTCCAACTATCTTGAACCCGCTTGGTCAATAACGCGTATCAATACGGAATATTATATCGATTTTAGCTATCACGCCGACGTCTCCGAAAGAAATAGCTTCAAGTAACTTGAGTGATTTTAACACATCCGAAGAACTGCTACAGAATCTTCCTTGTCTATCTTATCGTCTACTCCTATCAAATATAAAATGAAAACCTCGCCTTGATAATTTTGCTCTAAGCCTTAATTGGCCGGCTTTTATGGGATATTTTCCTTTGCTCTGATTGGCTCTACTGATTACTTAGGTCTTACTTTTTTGACACTCGATCAAAATTTGCTAAATAAAAAAGTGGAAAAAAGACTCCTCATTCCATAATACGAATTTTTGTTTTTATTTTAAAAAAAGATCCTGGACCTGAATTAGTCTGATGTGTTGATTCTCATATTGTGGAGAAGGTTAGCGATAAACAGCTTATGTTACTAATTTAGAGCGGTTTTTGGCTTTTTTTCCGTTGAAGAGTTAAGAAAGAATTGTGAGAAAAAAAAAAAATGTTTCCGGCAGGACTTGAACCTGCGACCTTCCGCGTGTAAAGCGGACGTGATAACCACTACGTACACTACGGAAACCACGCAGTACAAGGTAAGTAAAGCAAGAAATACAAAACTTTCTGAGTGTTGTCCTTACTTTTTCAGTTGCACATTACACTAAAAAAGCGTAGTCAATACCCTTTTCCTAACCCAAGTCGAGGCGCATTACAGGCTACAAACTGGTCTGGGAGCGGTTTTTCGTTGTAAATTTCAACTCAAACGGAGCTCTAATAAATTTTCAAAATTAAATGTTTTGAGGAGAACCGAAAAGTAAGTCTTTAGCTGAATCAGTTCGAAGCGTTACTTACATAACATGTTCGTGGAGGGGGAGGAAAAACACTGAAATAACCGTCTGCTTGATTGTAGATCAACCTTTTTCCAAACACCTGTTTGGTAACGAATGCATCAAATATGGAGGTATTAGTACTAATTGTTATATTAGTATGTGTGCCATGATTGATCAATTCGGCGGTCCGTACTTCTTTGTGTGGCTTGCTGAATTCAAGTGCTTTTTTTGAATTTAGATCTTCCCCTTCTGTTTAAACCTAGAGATTTGATAAACATATTAATAACCTCGTTTTCTTGGTCTGTACTATAAGTTACGTAACTTCGTTCTTTCTACGCTTGGATTTATGGCCTGCTTTGTGTTTAGGCCTTAAATCCAAGCGGGGGAAACTCGGTCCGTAACTTAGTGTACTGACCAAGAAAATGAGGTTAGTAAGGAGGTATATCTCGTTCTTACCAATACATACTTTCTGTACCATATCTTAATAATCCAGGACAGTAGAAAAGAGAGTTAACTAGAATTTATGCATCTCCTAACTGAACATCGGGGCCCAGTTGTCCCAAGGCCGGTTAGCGCTAACCAAGGTGAAATTTTAATCCGGGTTTCTTTATTCCTTTGTGGAGTAGGCTTTTCGAGATAATTTTCCCTGTTCTTTTTTAGAGCATCAGATAATCAAATTCTACAGAAAAAGAAGTATGCTGAATTTTTTGTTTAAACCTTTAGATTTCACATTTATCCTGGGTTAACCCAGCTTTGAACAACCCGGCCCTGGTTGGAAACCGCTGATGTTAGATCTAGACCAGCAATAAGCGACAAAGTAGTGAGGCAATTGACTGCGAAGACTGTAAAAATACTGATATATTATCTAATATTTTCTGGTTTCATAAACAATGGTAGTTCTGTAAACCTTACCGGCAGTGAAAGAAAGGTGTTCAAGAAGTCAACAAATGTAGCTTTACTCAATAGCTTCTCAAAAAGACCTTCACTTGGAATCCCTGGTCAAGAGAAAGAATGAGGCTCGTTACAAATTCAAAGCATTAAAAAATTGAAAGAACGACAAAAACATTAGAGTCGATTAGGAAGTCTGACCAGTATCTGAGTCTATCGAATTCAGTATTTCTTCCATAATTGCCAGAGCTTTAACGCGTTTTCCTAGTTTGGTAATTCATGGTGTAGTTCAGTTGTTTATAGTTTCCATGGAACAATGGTACGTACAGAGCCACGCAATAATAAACGTCATGCGCGCGCGGAGAATCGACTCAAAATAGCGCGGGCTCGACTAATATTTCCCGCGAGTCGGGAAAACTGTCATAGGTTGGGTTGCAATGGATAACCATCTCTCTTTCATTTCGTTTCACCAAATAACTTTAAAAAACGTGAAAAACATAACTCGTGTAGCAGAGGGAATACAGACGGAAACGCCTGAGAACCTTGGAGCAGTGGATGGTGTAAACTCGAAAAAGAGTTTTTAGTAGGCGAATTACCTGTCATACACGGCTTCTTATTTAGTTCACGTTATTTGCACATGCACCATATGATGATGGACAGATAGTGCAGGGTGTACCTCGAAACTTCACCGCTTACCCTCTCTTGGTTTATTGATTGAATCTTATTTGACACCTTCAGATTCTAAGACAAAGAGAGGTACGACTGTGAGCGCAAGATTTTACGATAATGACAAAGATCTTTCGTTATTTTGGCGGGAAAATGCACTAGCGTCAACTTCCAGGGGCATATAACGCTCATAATTTAATATCCTAAAAATTGACAAACCATCAAAATGCGGCTTAGCTATTGAGTCATCATAAAACCGGCAACTAGAAATCAAACTGAGCAGAAAAAATGTTGAAACGACAAGCTTCACCAACTTCGGCTGAACTCAACAGGGTAAAAACAACTTTAGAACAAACTCCAGCATTGCTGGCGGAACAAAAAGTAAACATGACTGACTCATTACTAACAAGTGGTGAATTAATACTTCTGTTTATTATGCTTCCTCACTTAGGCTTTATTCTTCTTTCTTTGACAAGGTTTTTTTCTTGTAATGTCGAACAAGCTGATTTAAAATCAAAATATTAACAACAAAGAACACGACACTACCAGCCCACACGTAAAAAAAATTATTCATTCCTTTGTATTCCAAGTAGTATGCGGGAATAAGCCACATGGCCTGAGGAAAAAAAAAAACGAGAGCAGGATAAATTATCAAAATGATGAAAGAAGAGCTTGAGTAAAGCAGTGATCCTTGTAGGTGAGTGAGTTGCAATTTTTAGGAAATGTAGAAAAGAAGTCAGAAAAATTCAGGCTTGACAGAGTTTGAACCCATGCCTCTCTGATTGAAAGAGACTCTCACAAAGCCTGGATACCTTTTCCCAGTGAAACAAACTTGTTGAATCATAGTTAAAGATCTTGTAAATAAATACATTTTTGGGAATTTTTTGTTGTTGTTAATGTTTTTATTTCTCAAATAAGCTCATTTTTTATAGATACTCTATGATTGAAGAGGAAATAAAGGCTATGTATGTATGTATTTATGTATGTCTGTCTGTCCTTCCCTCCCTCTGTCTGTCCCTCCCACTGTCCATCTGTCTGTCTGTGTGTCTGTCTGTGTGTCTGTCCTGTCACAACAATGCAAATCATATTGGAGGTTAAAAATTGTGTTATAGAATGGGTGCCAAATAAAAAGAAGAAAGAGGGTGGAGTGAGTGGGTGTACTGATTCTGATGTTCCAGAGGGTACTCTTTGGTTCATTTACAACTTTCTTTTATAAGAAGGACCTAAGTAAGAAATTGGTGGGATTCCAGTGTGAATTTGACCTTGTGCTGACAAGGAATGACAATTAACTGAAAAGAAATGCCAGTAGGAAACTAGTGTAGGAATAAGTGTCACTACAAGAGAGGAATTCAGAATTCAAGATGAGCAAATCAACATTATATTTTTATGTATCTTCATAACTAATCTCACCTGTCCAGCAAACCAAGCTAGAGTTAGACTAACTGTTTTCTGTAGTGAGATGTTAACAGAATCCAGGATCAGGGGAAGAAGACATAAATACCACAGAAAATACTACATAAAAGAGAAAAAACATTTCAGTCAGTAAAGGAGGAAAAGTAAAGCTATTTTGTCCATTTTTAGGCACCTTGATTAAGGTTTTAGGACTGTTGTGCAGTGTGATCCTATGATAAGAAGTTAGAAGTTTGGAACAATGGCATTTAAATACAATCAATTTTTTGCTTTTTCATAGCACAGTTTACCTGTAAGCTGAAAAATAAGGAAAATACTGCAATAATACATAATACAAACTTACAATTTCAATCTGAATGTTTTGGTTACTCTTTAGAATTGCAAAATGCAATAAGTGGTAAACTTTATATTCAATTTCTAGTGGTAAAGATAAAAAAAATAATATTTTTGGAGCATACTCAACATTAGCCATACCAAAAGGGGATTCACAGCATCAATTTGACTTACCTGTGATGTGCACACTTTATTAAAGGTAACAAATGCAAATGTCTGCACAAAGCAACAAAATGGAATGTCCCTGTAGTATAGGATGCCAAATGCAACTACGAGAACAAGCTGTGGTATGAAAGATGCCAAGCCAAGTACTGGGGACCAGTAGGTGCCTTCTACTAGGTACATCATGTAAAAATACACAGAAAAGTTGTGCTTCACATCTCGTCTTGTTACATGGTAAAGGTAAGTGTGCTCAAGGAATTCAAAACCATATCTGTTGAAAAGGGAAAATTATTGCACATACCTGTCAGCATTTTACTAAGAATGGCATTTTCACTGTTTCATTTTTTTTTTTAAAGAAAATCATTGATGTGGAATTCTGTGTTATGAAAGATATACTATTGACATGCTTAAATTCTCTTTTGCAATCCATGATATCTGCACTACATGCAGTGAACACTCTTTTCATATCATTCATGTATAAAGATACCAATGTCCTTATAGATACCAGGCATGTGAATTTGGCTTATTTCCTTAGCAAAGGACTTTTTTTTTCAAATTTACTAACATTGCTTAAGGTATGTAATTTTTTAGGCTAGCTGAGTTAACAAGCAGGTGATCATCTTGAATGGGGTTCTGAGGTCTTTCATTTGAATGTATCATTAATATCTATTTAATAAACAGAACATTACACAATGCCTTCTGGATGCAAGTTTATTTCCTCATTTTCTTGGCTTATTGTTAAGAAATATTATCAACATTAGAATAAAAAAAATTAGTCCATCCCTGATCATGAAATACCCTCTATTTGCTCAGTTTATAGGCTTGTCTTTCTAAGTCTTGGACCAATACATCTCTGAATATTTTTATGCATACAATCACCTCCAAGGGAGAATGTTAGTGGTAATTCATGACTTGGGCTGTGCTATGGAAATATGTTCTCTTCCTTAAGTTCAATTTTTTGTTTTTAGGAAGTGGAGCTCCAATTGACTTCTGCCATACCAAAAACTTATGTCTTTTTCATTTATGGGGTTTTCTATAACTAAGGTTTCTGGTCAAGAGAGAAGTTGTAGCAGTTCAATGATACAATTAGAATAAGATAGCACTGCACTTTTTAGGCGATACATACCTTTGATACAACACTCCAGTTAATCCTAAAAAGATTACCGCAGCAATCATAGCAAACTTAAACCTTTGAGGATGGAACACAAACGCCATGGCTTGAGAAACAAAACCTAAAGATTTTTTCACATTGTCACTCGTTCCTTCGCTTGATTTCTTGCAGTCATAAATATCATCTCCCACAAGTAGAACAAATGGGAAGCCATATATAATGGGATAGATTTTAAAGTGTACAGAAAGGGCAAAGAAAAAGGCGGCCATCGAAGTGTTTTTATTGAGGACGAAATAGATACTTGCAAGGACCAGGAATGCCAAGATTGATTCTGCATTTCCGCGGGTTGAAACTGTGAAGGACAGTGGATTAAATAGCCATAACAACGAGGCGAAAACAGCTCTTTTCTCGCAACACCCGCGTAAATGAAGGATCTTATACAACATATATCCAACTAAAACATCGAACAGTGCAAAAAGAACTTTCCCAAAGCACATGTGCAGAGTGATGTTTGGAGTTAAGAGGGTGGCTAAGAGAGGAGTATAACGATATGTGAGTCGTAAGTAAGGAGAGTTCCCTTCGACGACATGGCGAGCAGCGTCAGTGAAAACGTGGTAATCGATATCTGTGTACTTAACAACCATGTTCTTATCTTGCCATTCTCCATAAACAATCAGACAAAGTCTTAGTAGGAAAGCGATCGTGCAGGTCGACCAAATTGACACGTAATCCTTCATTGCGTCCGCCATGTTTGTGCTTGGGGACCAAGCCTGCATCCCGTGAAGCAGCTCGCGTTCAAACCAAGATGGCGGGCTTTGGGAATCATTTTGTTACTACCTTTCAGGCTGATTTAGAAGCTATATTTTCCAAGGTATGTGTCGTATTTAAGTACTTCTATAATCTTAAAGCCTATTTTTTTCTTTGCAACTGCGTTACAGCTTTCCTTTGCATTGTTAAAGATCGCAGTTTACAGCCTAAGACATGTAACACCAATTTTTTGAATTTCGTAGGGTTACTCAGGTCTAGATAATTAACACGACAGCTTTCATTTTTGGCAAAAACGTGCTCATAGTTTTCTCCTTGTACACTAATTACTCGTTTGAGAGTTATTGTTTATTTTAGGAAGGGAAGAATTTGCTCGATTTTATCAATGTGTTTTGAAAAAATATAGTCCATGTTGCTGTGCGTCAAAACTGTAGTTACTAAAACAAGGAATGACCTAAAATGACCTAAAATGACCTTGAGTGTTGTGCACAATGACCAAAAATAATAAAAAAAACCCTTAAATAACTTGGACTGATGTCTAAGATGGCTGGAAATGAATATAATGTTGACTGATGTCTAAAATAACCAAAAAGTCTAGCTAAAAAGATCCACAATAATAACTGGTAGTAGCACAATGATCTAAGGTGTTCTGAGTGATCTAAAGTGGCACACTAAGCACTCAGTTTGCACATTCAGTTCTGTTGTTCTTTTGTATATCACTGGCAATTGCTATTTTAAATTGTTGCAGTAAAGTTTAAACATTATTTTACATCATTTTAGTCAGTGTCGGTTACTTTTGATCATTTTATGTCAAGACATCAGTCAGGGCGTATTTTATGTCATTTTAGGTTATTCCTTGTTTTAGTAACTAATGCATCAAAATGTGGTAAGGACAAGAAAGAGGCATGCAAGTCTCAACTGAGTGTCCCTTATTTGTCCTCTATTACTGAACAGACCAACGGCAACATGGAATCTACTTGTTGCACACCATAAAGAAGCAAAATATTGTTAATGGTGATGATACATCTGTCCTCCAGTAAATTATTAGTAAGAGGCAACTGAATTTCATGCATTCAATTCAGCTTATTATATCAATAGAAAATATGTTTTTCAGTATGCACTGGTACCTGATGAGTACGTGGAGGAGTTTTACTTGAGTGAATTTTATGAAGGTAACTTATTAGTTTTTTGCCATTTTCTTTGTTCAACTTGGGAGATCTGAGAGTGAATTCTCCCATCTGATAATCATGAGTTTCTTTGTTGGCCGATTAAGTTCTTATTTACCTGTCTCTGCAACAGAATCGTAAAATTTTACTTAGCACTATCCACTGGCTAAGAAACTGCCTTTACAGATTTCTGAGTTGTCTACTTTTTCAAAAAATAATGTGTGGGTTATTAAAAGTCAACTGTCTGAAATTAAAAAAAATGTTTTTTCCAGAAAGGCTTTTGAACAGACAACTTTCTTGAGAGTCATTTTCACATTCCAGAATATAATTTGCTACTAATCTTTCCTAGTATTCAGTTCTTAATTCTCTTGCTGGTACTTTTTTTTCATGTGTCAACCATTTGCTACTTTCATCTTCCATGGAATAACACACAGACTCTGTAGGGCTGTGTACCTTTCTTCCTTGGACTGTAAGCCCTTTGCTTAATGTACTCGGCCATCTTCTCTGTATATTACGGAGAACCCTGAAATTCCAAGAATTGGATTTTTTGATGCTTCTTGTTTGATCTTCCCAGCTTGAAGCAGGCATTTCCTTAACCTTTCTGCTCTGTTGCAAATGCTTATTTTTACCCTGTGGAAAATGTGTTGATGTGACAGTCACTTTTTTGTTC